CCCATTCCTGTTCCTGCACACATGCTGTTCTCCCTCCTTTCCTTTAAGCACTTACTTCCAACTCAATTTCTTCAGGACTCAGCTCAAAAAGCCCTGCCTCAGAGAGGCCACCTCTGGCTGCCGATCCCAACAGGGTGCCCCGGTCAGCTCTCATTGCACCTTTACTTTTTTCATGGCCCTATCACAGATTTTCCTCCAATGCTTATTTATGGTGCTATCTGATTAATGCTGCCCTCTGAGGCCCACCAGCCTTTGTCAGGAAGTCAGCAACTGACCATTTGATCCCCACAGTTCTGGGACCCCGCAGGTGCTCCGTAAAGATTCGGTCAATGAATGAATGAGTGTGGATTACCAACATGGTTTGGGGTCAAGTCGTCAATTCTACCCCAAAGCCCAGGATAGGTGGCACATAATCCATAAGGAAGGAATGGATCTGCTTTCTGCTCAGGTGAGAGCCCCCCAAACTCGAGGGAACCTCAGATCCCACCAAACGTTTACTCAAAATAGACTCAGGTTTGCATTCAAGAGGGATTTTAACAACAGCCAAAGCCAGTAAATATTCCCTTTAAATAAAATGCCCTCCCTCTATGCCAAGGGGACCATTTTTGACATTCACCTCCTTTGTTACAGTCACAATCCCCAGCAACCCCAGCCCCAGGCAGCTGAGACACCAGAGCAGTCTTCCCTCCTGCTAAAGCCAATGTCACATCTAGGGAGGCCAGGGAAAAGGACAGTGGGGGCCATGGGGGAGGGGTGCAAACAAGCCGTTTTCACATCTCAGGCTCCGAAATGATTGCCTTCCTCTCTTCTCCCCATGGGTGGGGCGGTATGTTATGAGCTGGTGGCTTCAGGCTGGGCCTGGAGAGGAGACAAGCCATGCAGCTGTCAGGAGCAGCTTAGTGAGTCCCTCCACACCCATCACAACTGAGACCCCATCAATCCACAGCCCATCAGCAGGTATTCATGACAGCCTGTTCCGCCAGTGGCGGCCTGCACCAGGGCTGCACATGCAGTCTGCGGCTGCTGGGCCAGAGGCCCAGGAGGGGCTGCTCTGCAGAGGTAAATGCGTGGAATAGCACCCATGGAAGAAAAGGACAGAGCAAACCCCTGCTCGCGTGGCCTGCTACAAGAGTGAGAGGCCCCCAGATGCTGTGGGGAGGAAGGCATGTGTCTCTCGTAAAACCCTATCTGAACGTTTTTCCTCCACAGCTATGGTACGAGGGACAGGGCCATGGAGAAATGCTGAATTTGGGGTCAGACAGCTGGGGGTTCAAATCCAAACTAGGTCACTTGCTGCCCCAATGACCTTGATCAAGCCCTTCATCTCTCTTAGCCTCACTTCTCTGTGGGTTAAATATGTTTCTTATGAGGTCGTTGGGATGGTTCAGGGTACCTTCCACATGTGCACACATGGCCAGCATTCTCCGTGCAATGAGGAAAACGTGTATCGTGGGCAGGAAAGAGAACATGACCTTAAATGCGCTCTCTCCTTCCCTTCTCTCCCCTTCGCTCTTCCTCCCCGCCTCTCTCTCTCACGCTACCATTCATTCCAGTGTTTCCCATCCCCTTTTTTTTGAGCCTGGAGCCCTCTATATTCATCTGAGAATTCACTTCCCCTGCCATCTTCTTAGCTTAATAGTGTGCACAGGAAAATTATAGTAAATAATTCGGAGAGAAGTCATCAGAGCCCGGGTTTTCAAAAGTGCCTCATAGTTGGCAAAGAGTATTTATGTGCAGTCTCCCTTGACAAGCAAGAAGTCTTCCTGAAATAAAAAACACAAAAGAGGAAGTAAATAAATGGACTTGAACCAAAACTCGAGAGTGGGAAAGCAACCCTGGCTGTCCGGAGCGCCCTGGCGTGGGGCATGTCGCGTGGCTTACGCTGGTCCCTCCAGTGGCGGGCTGACAGCACCTGGCCACTGGGGAAACGCTGGTGAGCAGGGGGTGGAGTGAGGGAAGCCACGGCGGTGACCGTCCCCTAAAACTCCACAGTGAAACCTGTCCACCCATGCAGAGTTCACAACAAAATAAACACGTGAAGAAATCAGGGTGAAGGGGAAATATCAGTAGATCAGATTCATCTAAGGCTTTAGGCCACAGAATCTGGAGCTACAGGTGGGGCAGCTTTGATATTAAACTTTAAAGGGATGGGGAACTGGGCTTTATTTACAGTCATGCAAAGACATACTTTTATTTCATCCCCAAATCCAACGGTCAGAGCCGCCTGGACATGCTGTAAATGCTTATCCCAAATCCCCATGTGGCATGCCTCAGTTCGCCTCACTTTTTTATATTGAATCTGTTTCCCAGCATGAAACCCAAATACTCTGCCTTTAGAGCCATGGCCTTAGTTATTTTTCACTTGGGAATTTCCTACCCCGGGTACCAGACAGCATCCAGGTCTAGGGAGGTGATCTGCCGCAGCCTATTGAAGAAGACCAGGCTAAGCATCTTTGGAAAGTTTGGACACGGCAGAAGAGATATTTGCTCAGTTAAATATTGTTGTTCAGATGTTCCTAATTCTGTTGTGTGCTTACAAGCCTGCGTGCATTTATCCGGAAAGTGGACTAGCATCGTGCTTCCTCTGGATGCGAGAAAGAGACCACCCTCCTCTGCAGAGAAACCAGCACATCTCACCGACAAGCCACATAGTGAATTTTCCTTTTTCCTTTTTAATGTGAGGATAAGATGACCTCTTGCAACAGATTCTCAAAGACAAGTTCACTACTGGGGACAATAGGAAATACAATTGTACAGTTTCGCTGCTTAATAACAAAGGCAAACCCAGCAGCCTCATCTCTTCTTTGCTGGTGTGGGGAGGAGCTTCAAGGTTTCCACCACACCTCTGGCACTTACTGCTGTGTGAACTTGGGCCAAACTTAACCTCTCTGAACCAGACTCCCTCACCTACAAAATGGAATGATAATGATCCCCACATGATAGAGTTATGGTGAGGATTTTAAATGACAGAAAGTAAATATTTAGTCATTTCTAACACTCAATAAAATGTTCATTGCTCTTATTCGTGTTATTAATCTCATGGTGATGATGATGATAGTTTAAAGCAGTGGTTCTCAACCAGGGACAAATTTTGCTTCCAGGGGATATTTTTGTGGTCATAACTGTGGGGGAGGATAGCCACACACAGGGATGCTGCTAAACACCCTACAATGCACAGGACAGCCCCCCACAACAAAGAATGACATAGGCCAAAATGTCAACATTGCCGAGATTAAGAAAACTTGCTTTAAGATATAAAAAATATCTTATTTGGAATCAAATTCTTGCATTTTAGGAATTCTATGACATCATGTAGAGAAATCACACTTTAACAAAAGAGGGAAATACCTCTGTTCATTTGCTAACTGACCGCATGATTTGACTTAGTCTGCTGAAGTCTCGGTTTTGTCATCTGTAAAATGGCCAGCTTAGAGTGGTTGATTTCTAAGTGTCCTTCTGGCTGTGATACTCTCAGATTCTGTGATTGCAATGTTCAACCATCCTCTTCGGTGCATGAAGGAAAAGGGGCCAGGCAGAACCCTGCCACACTCTGGATAAGAGCACAATAGAATTCCTCATGGAAATAAATCATCTTTTCATATAAAATCTTCTGAAGACCATTTCGAGAAGAGTAATAGGTCTGCCAGCCCAACACCTGCAGGGTGGGTAATAATTTACTTAGCCCACTGACTTGGGGGCAGGTCCTGCTCTTGATAAATGGCCCAATTAAGCATCTGTTAATCACAGCATTATCTCATCAGAAGGTGGAAGGTGGAATACCTACTTCTCTCAAGCAGTTTCTCAGTGAGATAACATCGGGAAAGAAGGAAAGGGCGTTTAACAGCACTGGGAACAATGCCCCTGCCCCTCGCAGGAGCTTTGGCCCCGCACTTGCTGGGAATATCCCCTGTGCCTGATCCTGTCCCTTCCCCCAGCAACCTTCCTATAACCTCGGCTCCTGAACTCTCGTGTTCGTCTGAGGCCTTGATAATAAAGCAACATCTGCAAAACCTACAAGAACTTTACTGCAGTTAATTGAGTAATTGAAGCAAGATGCAGGGAGGGGTGATCTATGGGCCTGGGTTGAGGGCCGAGAAGGGAGACAACGGATTTATTGCAAAGGCCGTGGGCGGCCTTGGGTCCAGGCCCTGGTTCACGGGAAGTTTGAGGTCATGTGGGATTAAAATATCTTTAGAAACAAATGGAATAATTTGACTGAAATATCAGGAATGCTGTGCCAGTTTATGCCAGGAGACCAGGTGTGATTTATTTACCTTGTGCCCAACACATTTTTTTGGTATCTGCCCCATTAGCCTAAATTTATAGGTTATTGAGCAAATGAGTATCTCCTGTCTGTGTCTGTCTGCCTCATCCTGATTGTTGTGTGAAGCCAGGCCTTGTGTCGTTCAGGATAAATAGAGTTATGCCTTAATGGGGCTGGAGGCCCGGAAACTATCCAGGTGGTAAGCAAGACCAAAGATATTTACAATCTAGCAGTTGTATTTGCTCAAAAATGGCTTATTATAGCAAATGTACCATTGGTGGTAATATCTTCTTGTAATCTGAATAAATCCATAAATCTGCATTTAAGCCCAGTTCACCACCTTGAAGTCATTGGGAACAATGTAATTTATTTGCTAGCTTTGCAGATGCCAGATATGCACATTATAGATACTTAAATTGCCCATGTGAGCACCTGGCAAGAGACTTGGCCAGGCGACCAGCCTGAGCACACGCCCCCAGCATGCAGGAGGACTGGGTTTTTTTGGAAGGTTATTGCTCCTTTTGTAGTTTCTCCGCTGCTTTATTAAATCCCCAATTCCTTGCAAAACTGTACAATTTTAATAACTCAAATCCGTGTGGATCATAAAGCTGTCTAAATATACCTCACGCCCTGGGTATCAGACAGATCCACAGGTGATGATGTCACTGGGCCTGATTAACCGGAACAGGTCACCCGACAAGATTTTATTACAAGTGTCATTTAGATTTCTGACAGCTTTACAAGGCTTAATGGCTTTTTATTAAATACATTGTGTTCAAGGAAGCTGACAGTTGGGGATGCCTTGTAAATACAATGCAATGGAATTTCCTTAGAAGCTACGTGAGAGAAAACAGAAGTATGGGACATCCCTCCCTGTCCCCAGTCCCATGGCTCAGGAGGCCCCGAGTTCATTGCCCCTGAGACAAAAGACAAATGACCCCCTGACGCTGCCCCCACCAGCTCTCCAAACCTAGCAGGTCTGCCCCAGGTTGGCCCAGATGTTTTCATCTGACGCTCTCCAGAGAATCAAATTCCTCAGTGCAGAGGGTGATCCAGTCCAGCCCCCCGCCCCCCACCTCTTCCCTAAGACAGCCTTCCTCCTAGGAATCCATGAGACTGGACTTCCTGAAATTAATGTTCTCCATGAACCAGTTAGCCAGGCTTTGTTTGTTTCTTCCCAGCAGTTCCTTGGACCCACCTGGAGGGAAAACAGGAGGAAAGATGGACAGACTTACCTGAGTCCCACCCTCAGCCCCTCCGCAGTTGCTGTGTCCTGTGCTTGATGCTCTCAGTAAATGATCTCATCCGGTTTGCACAACCAAAACCACCTCGCTGAGCAGGTACTTTTCTCCCCAGTTGCACCCAGAAAAAGGATTTGTAAAAAGTAGGTATTCAGTAAGCCCCTTCTGCGGCAGTTTAGCGTCAGGAGGAAGGGCTGTGAATACAGCTCTCATGTGTGGGATCTTGGTCACATTATTTGACCTTTCCAAGCCTTGGATATACACAAAAGTGGGATGATGATTGCCACCTTTCTGTGCTGCAGGGAGAATAACATTGCACAGTGAGACCTTAGTAAACACTGGCTGTGACTATTGCTGTATTTGTTATTGTCGATGGAGAACCTGGCAGTTACATCCAGCTAGAGCCCTACGGTGGCTGAGAAGGCTGCAGATCCAGGGGGTGCACTGGGCCCCCCAAGTCCTGCAGATCTAGCAATGCACATGAAAGTGGAAGCACATGTGTGATGTTCCAGACCGAAGCAGCCAAACCGGAAACTCAGTAATATTCCAGGAGCCACCCCCGGAGAGAATCCAGGGTTAGTCAGGAAATTACTCCCTTTTAACATGGGGCTGGGTCTCTGGAGACCCTGCTGTGTCCCCCTGCTTGGCAGCCATGCCGCCTCAGCTGGGTTACATTTTCTTGAAACCAGGCTTTGCCGAGAGCTGGGAAGAAGTGCCAAGAGGACCAACAGATTTCCCTCCATTCCTCATCCCACCAAGGCCTGTGGGCCAGGAATAGGGGGCCTGGGGTCTCCCCTGGTAATTTGCTCACTGTTTCTGATCTCTGAGGCTTGGGAGTATAATTTATGTGAGGATCATGTTTCTCAAGCCCCAGCTTCATTTCAAGGAAAAGTTAACTCTTGGGTTCTGGAGAATTCATCTTGGACCCCAATTTGAGACACAGCAAAATGAAAGTCTTATTCTAGAAAAAAGCAAATTATCATTGCAGCAGAAAAGACAGGTCTAGATGTCTGGTTAAAAAATTATTTTTGTATCATTGAAATAAGAACATGATTTAGGTTTGTATGGGACTTATGGCTTCCCAAGATGACGTCTGTGGACTGCACTCTGAGAGTCACCGAACTGGGAAGCCCTGCAATGTGGAGGTCATTCGGGAAAGGCCAGGGCAGCCCTGAGGGGTAGCCCAAGCCCCCTTTGTCTCATTCATCCATCTTGTCACCTCTTACCCTCAGGGAAGGGACACCTGGCTTGACCCCCCTGTATCCACCCCCAGCATTTGGGTGGCAACTTGGGGCTAATTCCCACAACGCTAAATCCCCCTCTCTCACTTGGCAAGACAGGACCTGTCCTCTTTCTCCTTTGTGGCAGGTAGAGTTTTCATGCTTATTTTCTTTTTCCTCCAGGATAAATGCCACCTTTGGGTCAAAATCTTAATGGAGGTAGGTTAACTTTCAAACTGGGATAGTTTGGAAATATTCCATGTATTGAAATTTGGAAAGTAGACACTGCTTTTTTATGAATAACAGAATCCATCTAAAATAATGAAAATTTGCTTCCAACACATTTTTATACACCTTCTAAAACAGACCCCACCTACCCAAACCCTCTTTTTGTGTGTGTAAGGTCTCACGTGGAAAGGGATCCCTTGGAATGAGTCAGAAGTGAGTACCCCACTCCACTGTTGAGATTTCGGACAGCGGTTTCAACCTTTGAGCTTCAGCATTCCACTCTGTAAAACGAGGTTCATAGTCCTTATCCCAAAGGGTGGCCAGGAGGGCTACATGAAATAATCAAGGGTCCTTGCAAATGCCCCCTTCACCCCTGGAACTCACTATGAAATCATAAAAGGGTCCTTTCTCAATCTGGCCACCCCAGGGCAAAGCAGTCTGTTTGGATAAGGCACCATCCAAAAGGATGTTAAATGTCAACTTTTTGGAGATCGTGTCAGAATGCTTTGATTTGTGCCAGGTCAATAACCACACTACTCCCATTTCATAGAGCTTCTCTTGGGTCAGTGTTTACCGTCAGTTACCCATCCCCATGGCCGCGGGAATCTCTGTGTAGAGGCTCGATGCACTGAGTCTATCCTGTTAACTTGTAGCATCTCCAGACTGGGTGAGCTCCTTTGGTTCACCTGCCACCGGCTCTCCATAGGAAGTGGTTAGAGGGCGGGTCAGGTTAGGCAACCTCTCCTCTCCCAGGCTTTACCTGCACACCATTCATTGCAAAAGGTAGACAAGTGGATTTTTCTAAGCCAGCAGCATTGTCAAAATGATGGGAAGATGTGCAGAAATCAGGTACATGCTACCCAAGCTGGCGGGCAGTGCCTTCCTGTTAAACAGCCTGGTAAATGGAGGCACGGCCTATAGGGCCAGCTGGACTCTGCACAGAGAGCTCTTAACTTCTTCCAGGTGTCCTTGTGCTGAGCACCTCTGCAGAGCCAGACATTTCTCTTGCCCCCATCTCCATGACCCCAACCTTTACAGGGTGTCTCAGCCATGGCTGGATTTACCTTTGCCAGTTCCCATCTCTTCCATGTATCAGCTGTGTGACCTTGCACCAATGATTTCCATCAGAAAAAATTGATCCAATGATGTCTACTTCTCAGGGACAGGGGAATTAAGTAAGCTAATATGTGAAAGCATGCAACAGAGCCAGAGCTCAATTTTTTAAAAATGATTGATACATGAAGTTCATGTTAAACTCATTTTTTTGAAAGGGTTGAGAATCTCATTGGGTATAGTGGGTACCCACACCCCATGAGAAAAAAAAATAGTCTCCAACACTCAGACCAAGACATTCTGATGTTTGACAGAAGTTATATGCCACCCAGGGTCACCAGCCTTGGCTACCTGGTTGTGTGTCCAGCCTGCAGAACTGTTCATGGCTGTCCTGGGCCAGCTCTCACCTGATGCATGTCCAGAGTCCAAGGGAAACTCTTTCCTCGATTCTCAGCTCCCAAAGCTAGCCAACTCCAACAGTTGAAGTCTTACAGGGCTTGAGAAAGCTCCCCCCCCCCATGTGTCTTCTAAGCTCTCTCTTCCCTGTGGCTGTCTTCACATCCCTGAGTTTCCACCTCTGAGGAGGGGCTCAGTGCGCTCAGGCTCAGACAGATGCCATGGGGCCCTGCCTTTAGAGGCCATGAGGGGCTTGCCACGTGCCAGGGCCAGGACTGGCAGGATCTCCCCCGCACTCCTTGACAGCACACATGCTCAGGTTTGGCTTTTCTTACCGCAAAATGCCCCCTCGGCAGCATCCCTGCTAATGTGGAACTCCAGCCTGGTCTCCTGCTTCCACTCTTGCCCCTTCTCCAGTCCCCTCTCTGTGCTTTGACCTCTAGAATATGAAGCTACTCATGTTACCAAACCCTTCTTAAAACCCATCAGTGGCTCCCCATTACCTTCAGACAAATTTCCAAACTCCTTCCCAGGGTTTAGAAAGTCCTTCTGAGCTTGTCTTTGCATTTCTGCCCATAGCTCAGCTAACTCCTACCCCAGCTCAGTTCTCAGCTTAGGGGTCATCTCCTCTGGGAAGTCTTCCCGGATGCCCCACTGCAAAGCTCCCACAGCTGCCCGTACTTCCTCATCCAGGCACGTATTAAGCCCAGTGTGCTGAAATTGCCTGTTCACCTGTCTCTCCCACTAGCTGAAAGAATAGTCCTCTCTGTGTCCCAGTGCTTAGTCCAATGCTGAAAATGTGTGCAGAATTAATGAGCTAATAGACTCGTGATGACTCCTTCTGGAGACGCTACCCAGAGCTCTCTCGGCATCAGAACAAGCAGCTCGGAACTCCCACAAGGCTCCGGGAGACATCAGAACTCTCCGGCCTGTGGCCCAGCAGAGGTCTGTGGTTTTACTATTAATGGAAATGGAGCTGGCAGATCAAAGGCAACAGCTCTAAAGACCAGATTGCCAGCAGCTAGCATTATCGGAATATCAATTGAATTGGTGATTCAAAATTAAGTGGATTAATGATTGACATTGATTTGTAAAACCTGGCCCACCACCTTGCAAACAGGGTCTTTCCTATTCTGGGTTGGCTGAGAGAAGGGAGCTCCGCAAGTGGGGGTTCAGTTAGCTCTGGCCATGCACCGCTCCCACCCCACCGCTGATTTAAAAGGGCCTCTGTGCGCAAAACTCTACACCATTCCTGTTAGATGTCTTAGAAAAGACTTAGCACCTGAGATCCCTTTCAGAAAAAAAAACTCACAAGTTTGAGCCAAAGAGGAAAAGTCTGGTGCAACTTTGCACCTGTAATACATGAGTCACTTGATTAAAAAAATATTCAAAATCAAGTTCGTGATTCTCTCTGTGTGGGCAGGAAAGTGGGGGGGCATGTGGAGGTTGAGAAATACCTTCAGCTGCACTGACTTGCAAATCCTAACCAATAGTCTGGGGCTGTCCACATTTTGGAAAACATTTCCCCTGTTGGTGCTTTATATACTGGTTAGGGGTGACTGAATAAGGGAACAACTGCTGCAGGATTTCAAGGCCACCTCCTGGTCTAGCTGGCCCACCTTTGTTGGGAAGCTGGGGAGGGGAATGGGGGCCTCAGGAGAAGGGTCTGGGCTCACTGTGTCAGATGAGGGAGACTCCAGGATGAGCAACCCCCATGCAGATACTCTGGGGGACTTGGAACTGTAAATGCTCCCAAAATGTGCTGGGAATTGATAGGAGGAAAATACCCTTTGTGAAGGCAGCTAACCCTGCTGGGGGTCTGCTGGGCCCCTGCACAGAGCTGCAAGTCCAGATAAGGCACACACTGCCCCAGCTACCCACGTCCCCTGGCAGGTCCAGCAGCATGAATCCAAGAAGGCTGACCTAGACGTAGATTGCCGGAGAGGAAAGGACAAGGGTAACCCTGGGGCCGGACCACAGCTCCTGTGTCTCTTCTTCTGTGAGAAGGAGATGGTCACTCCTTCCCTTCAGGTGTGGTGAGCATTCAATGAGATCACTTACCCAAGAGCACGTGGCCGAGTGCCTGGCACACGGTGAAATGCCCGGTACTCAGCCCTCTCCAGCAATCCTGAGAGGCAGGCACATTAGTTCTCAATGACTGTGACTCACTGGTCACCCAGGGTCACTCTAGGAATGCTTTTTCCTGCTGTTTCTTCCAGGCCTTTCTGGAAAAGAGGCAGAGGAGATGGAAAGAGAGGAGGAACACAGCTTCATTGTCACATCAGGGCTTGGGAAAGGGGAGACCCTGAAGATAGGTTGGGATGGCCCCTTCCCAGAGATCTGCCCACTCACCTGACTCCTGCCTGGGGTCGGATGAGGCGGACGTGGGAGGGCCAGGGGCACAGAAGGTGAGAGAGCAGCGGGCCACCTCCAGCCTCCCTCTCCTATCCTTTAGCCCAACTTTCCTTCAAGTTTGTTACGAGCAAGAGATCCTGGGCTGCATATTAATAAAACAATGGAATTTTTATTTCTTTTTCTCATAAATTACATAATTCAAACCTTAAAACACCTTTAATGAACAGTGACTGGGCATGTGACACTTAATAAAACTGAGCTCAGTTCAGTTTCTGCTTGACAGGCTACCAGCCGAGAATGTGCCTTACGAGTAAATGATTAAGAGGCGGAGATCTTTCCTGGGCTCTACTATTAAACACTTCAAAGGTTTCCAAAGTCAGATAAAATGAAAAGCAAATGTGTTTCACTGCCTCTCAAATGCCTCAAATGTTTTAGCAGGTGCAAGCAATGAAACCTTCCATGGTGACAGCATTTTAGGGTCTGCAAAGTGCACCCGACTGAATTCTGGGAAATCTGGGCTGGCTTCATAAAAATTCATGATTTCAATGAAGGGAGATGGTTGTCTTTGGAGCTCATCTACATATGTGGCACAGAAGGAAAATATCACCAGGTCCTCTGGGTCATGGGTCACTTAAACCTTTCTGTTCCGGAAGAGACCCCAGCAGGGAATGCTGGAGGACCCAGCTGGGGAGGCCAGCCTTGTGCTGGCAAAACAGGGCCAAATATCTCAGTTGGCCTAGACTTTCTGAAGGCACATTAATGGTTATGGCAAACCCAAGTCCTCTTTTTGGGGGCATGGTGACATTTTTATGTGATCTGTGAGCACATCACAGACTATGACTTGGCACATATAGGTGGCGTGATCTTGTGCAAATTATTTAACCTCTCTGTGCTCCAGTTTCCTCATCTGTAAGATGGGGGGAGGGTAATTGTAGCACCTACCCTACAGTTTTTGTGAGGATTAAATGGGTTAACATCATAGTATCACTTAGATCACATAGCAGAATTCAATACGTGTTCATGACTCTCATAACTGTCCCATTAGGAAAAATGAGTATAAAAAGTTAGCATTCTACAGCTTGGCCATTTGAGCTTTTCATTTAAAATTTGCTATAACTTAGCTTTATAAGTTATAGTAATCTCTCACATAGACATATAAATTTTATAGTTTACAAAGGACATTGTGAGACGTTACCTCATCCAACCTTTCCACAGCAAGGCCAGGAAGGCAGGGATGGTCATCCATGGACGAGGAAGGATGGGCTTCCAGCTCTGCTGCGTCTGTCTTGTGTAGAGTCAGACCCATCACCTGGACCTCTGTGGCCTGAGGGCTCCCATCTGCGGACTGGGTATAGACAGGCTCCCTCTGAATCACAGGACAGGCCATACGTCAGAACTAGTGCCACCAACATCTGCCCAGTTATCAGAGCTCACTGGTCCCTTTCTTGTCCCACTTATTTTTTTATTATTATTCATGAAGGAACTCA